AAATCTCCGGTGTTTTTTTAGCATTGATTTAATTGCAAGATTCGATTAGCTACCGCGTTATATTACAGCAGAAACACCCAAAACCAAAGATTTCCGGCATCCACCATAACACAGAAGCAAAAAGAATAGAACTAATTCATGAACCCATCTCTAAAAAAAAAAAATCATTGAAAACTTGTGTTGCCACGAAACCAGCGTAATTCTCACAATTTCTTATAGAAATATTAGCTAGGTCGGACGAATTTATACAACATTTATGGGTCTCTACCACATGAGTGATTTTTATTTATGGAGTCCGTCGATCAGAATTGTTGAAAAACAGGGATCTTAGCGAAAATGAACATGAATATTCCATTGCCTTCGACTTAGCCAATTCAATAAACTAATCGAAACGACACATGCTCGCTCGCGTGAGCGCCGGGAGGTCAACAGAAGTTACAAATAAAAAATGAAAATTGGGGAAAGAAATCTTCACCAACCCCCCTTCCAACTGTTTGTCCATTACTGTGGAAAGCAGAGAACGAGAAACAAATTCGCGTCGCGAGACTTGATCTTTCTCTTTGGCAACCCTGCACCATGCGATGGCTTCGGGCTGTTGGAGTCATGACAAGACCTTATCGACAAGAACGACCTTAGACCTAAAATAATTCACTGTTTAAGAATACATATGCCAGCGTTGTTACGATGAATAGTGTTGAAAATATTATGTCATATCGCTTGACAATGAGTCATAAATATTCTTTATATTCATGTTGTCTCATTCCAACTATCGGCTCAAACATCTGGATTGGATTTTTTAACATAGTATTAAAGTTGAAAGTCCTAAATTCACTTTATACTTATCGTAATTTCTCATGACATCGCCTCTAGTAAAATACCATCGCACGTGATAAAATAAAAGAAGAAAATGAGGATTTCTTTGTAAGTGACAAAAGATAATCGTTCCATCGCCTTTAATAAAGTAAAAGAAGAAAATGGGGATTTCTTTAGCAAGTGACAAAGATATCGTTTCATTACGTCGTCTGTAATAAGAAAAAAAAATGGGGATAGAATTGTTTCAGACAAGATTCTAATCTTTGACTTTGTTTTGAAGGTGAGGGTCCCAGTGTCCTTCTATCTTCACGCGCTTGGCGGTGATCTCCACGCGTTTGTCGGGGACCAGCTTCGACCGGCAAATTAGATGGTTGCGTTGTGCTTGTATCTTTTGTTAGATGGTTGCATGTCAGAGGGCCCTAGTGTCCTTCTATCTTTCATTAGATGGTTGCATTGTGCTTGTATCTTTTAGGAATAATGACACAAACAATCCCTCAACTTTGACATAATATGCAATTTGATCCATGGACTTTTAATTTATTCAATATAATCCTTGAACTTTTGGCTAATATTCAATGTGGTCCCTGAACTTTTATTTTGTTCAATATCATCCCTGAACTTTTGATATATGTTCAATTCAGTCCCTGAACTATATGAAAATGTTTAATATAGTCCCTCAATTTGAATTAATGGAAATGACTGCATTGAACATTTTCATATAGTTCAGGAACTGAATTGAACATATATCAAAAGTTCAGGGATGATATTGAACAAAATAAAAGTTCAGGGATTGTATTGAACAAATTAAAAGTTTAGGGATCAAATTGCACATTGGGGCAAAGTTCAGGGACTGCTTGTGTCATTTTCCCTATCTTTTATTACATGATCGCATGTTAGAAGGTCCCAGTGCCCTTCTATCTTTTATTAGATGGTTGCATTGTGCTTGTATCTTTTATTAGATGGTTGCAATTTAGAAGGTCCCAGTGTCCTTCTATCTTTTATTAGATGGTTGCATTGTGCTTGTAAATCTCTCGTCGATATGAGAAAGTAACTACTTGTATAAGTGCATGGCTTGCGATCTCCTTCTTATGGACATGTATATGATCAATGAATTGAGTTGGGTCGATGCAATTAACCCGATCCAGCTTGAATCAAACACAGCACTAACTAATTTATATGTCTTCAGTTACCAATTTAGAGTCAGGCTCCCACAAACTAAAGCCCATTCACTCAATAGCTAAGTCCATATGTGATATTGTTGTGGAAAGCCCATTTAGTGAACTGACTGTCTTTTTACTTTTGGTCCCTATACTTATAACTTTTTTTTTGTACGAAGTTTTTGTGCTTTTAATCTGTCTAATCAATCTACTTTCACAAACTTAATCTAATGAAGTTCTTTGGACATCAAATTCGATTGAATTCAAGAAACCATCGGGTGACACCGAAATAAAATGTGGATAGATTATGCGAATGCCACATCGTCCGTGATGATAGATGATGCCCATCATCGTTGTCCTCATCTACAAAGATAAAAAATAAACTTCCGCCACTCGTCACGGATCTCTAAGGTATTCATGGAGGTCAGAGACCTGGGATATGAATGATGCAGGACCAGCCACAAAAATTCACATGCCTATACATAATAAGAGGTGTAGTAACTGTGGGGGTCACTGGAGGGGGAGGCGGAGGGGCAAGGGCGTGTGGCTAATCCAACATGGCAACTAGGTAATTTTTTGGGCAGGCTCGAATAAGGGCATTTAATGAAAAGACCTGGCTATGATGAAGGCTCGAGCAAAAATTTATGCCCGATCCAAAAGCCCGATATCACCCAGAGCCGCCTAATAATCACCTCTAGTTGAGTTATCTAAGAGATTTATTGTGATAAAGAAATCTAAATGAACCTGAACTGGAGAAATGTTTATGCTGATTATAGTGCCTTTTCCTCATGTGCTCACCTCCATCATCAATCGCTCAAGCGAAGGCAAACGCGTTTTTCAAAGTAAAAAAGAACTATATAAATTTAATTGGCTTTTCCCTAAGGAAACTTCCACATGCCCTTTCTTGGTGATGAAGAGTTGCCCTTTCTTCTCCGGAAGCCCTATAACTCAAGACATCCATTCTATGCATCTCACAACAAACATGCCTTCGTCTCTCATTATTCTTCTCCCCCTCCTTCTCGGTCCTGTCTCAGTGTTTCCTTAAACTCTGCCATAGTTATCAAGCTCTTAGTTCAATCGAAGGAATGCTAGAGATTAGAGACAGTTCTCACGAGCCATGACAAAACCTGATCACGGGATTGACAATCCATGGACCTCGCCACGACAAAAACGACTTTGGCAGGACTGTGATTGCAACACTACAATGTTTGGTTGCTTGAGAAGACATATGCCAACGCTCTTATAATGGGTTGCCTAAGAGGTAGTCTTAAGGCAACGATAAGCGCAAATGTTGCGTCTCCGTTTGTCTCCGTTTGTTTTGCCGAAGAGGTAGTCGAAAGAGAATCTCCTCTCACCAGCTCTTTTTGTGTGTGCGTGTTTGCATATGCATAATGAGGAAGCTCAGCCACAGCAGGGCATCATCTAACGAATTGAACATCTTGTGCAGTTATATTGCTACTTTGGTTCCTTTATTCACTCATCAGGTCGCCAAGACAACGGCAATTACTCCTAATCCTCTCAACCGTCCTGTTCTTCTTCTGTAATCTGGTCTGTAACCTTACGGTTGCTGTCTGTACAGCTAAAACGGCTTAGCAGGGCCGTCGCATTAGTGAACCTCACACGGGACTTGCTGAATGGACCTGCCTGGTTCAAGCTCTTCGTAGGAAGAGAGTGAAGAAACAGGGAAGGGAAGATACAGAGAGATAAAACTTGCTCAAGAATGTTTTGGTTGAATAACAGTCGTTTGAGTTTTGGGCAACGCGATGAGCGCTGGGCCGTTTCATGTCTTGTAGGGTGAGTCTTCATCAATCTTCTTTGGCTGTCTTTGAATTCGTTACTCTTCTCTTATTTTTGGGATTCCTTTCCTTAGCATGACCAAGAGAGGACTCGACGCAGCTCAAATGCCTAATTAGAGAGTTCTGACGTATGTCTTTTAAATTACAGAGGGTGAAGAACAATCAGACCTACTAAATCAACTCACAAGTTTACAAGAGCAGAAGCTCTCTAGGTGTCGGCGAGTATCCCTTCCAGCTCTGTTGCCATTGACAAGAAAGTTTTGAAATGCGATTTGATCCCTGAAAATGAAGTTTCTCGTGGAAAACATGTTTGATTTCTGTGGCTACGATGACTAACCTTTACGCGAGACATTTTGATCCAGTATTTGAGTGCGACCATTGGTCAAACGTCACCTCGTCCTTTCTTACCCAAATCTAAGAATTGATTTCTTGAAATTTCAGAATTGGAAAGAGAGTTCAAAGTAGCTCTAGAAGAATTCTTCAGACTTCAGGTCATGGTTCGAGTGAAGCATGTAACAGCAAGAAAGGAGCAACTAAAGCTAATGAAGAAAAGAAGAGGAAGAACCCAGGTGGTAACTGGATTACAATGAATAGCGATGGAGTGTCGATCGACAGTACAAGAGAGCATCAGCAAACAGATGGCAGAAAAAGACCTTGTCAGAGTCTGGATTGTGTTTCGGTAAGTTGAATAAATTTGGTAGAATGAATGATCATCGCAGACCGAGAATACGACTGAACTCTAACAGGTTTTGCTCACTGGGCTGCTATGTACTGGCTAGGATGAATTTGGGTGTAGAATTGGGTTTCAGAAACCCTGGGTGCTCTGATGAGTATGCAAATTCACGAAGCACAGAAGAACCTCCATGAGCAGGTGCTGATGTAATCTGTCCACAATAAGATGTATCGCTTGCGGTCTGGTCTTAAAGAAATGCAACTGAACTTGAACTTGCCAATAAAGACTGCTGCTTTACTATGACCGCAAAGAAATAGACGTAAAAGTACGGCATTCCGAGATGAAAAGATGGTGGCCATGTGGAGGAAAGTGAAACCACAGACATCATATCTCACATATAGTGAAGAAATATGGAAATCACTCCAATATATTTGATTCAATCTAGAAGTCTGAATCTCGCAGACTAGCCATTCATCCCAGCCTACTGAACATTTTCTAGTTCAGAATCAGACGCGGACAGAAATCCACGGAGCCAGAGCAATCATGGACCGACAATGAAGAAAATCGCAAGTGTGAGCTATTATTATCTGTATAGGTTTTGAGGACTGCTAAACAGACTGACTAGTGAAAAAGAATGAACTGGTGTGTGATCACAATAAAAGAGACTTATCTCTGAAAGCAAAGGGAAAAGAAGAGGATTGAAACAGAAGATTCATCATGAAATCATTACTAGACTCTGCCACTTTCAGATGAAACTTCCATCCCGGGCTGTCCGCCTTCTCTTGCTTCAATGACATCAAGAACGCCATGGACACTGAGCCACTCGCTTTTGTAAATGTCCGGCGAAGTCATCAGAACTCCGTTAAGCATCAAAGCGTAGCCAATTCTCGTGACCTCAATAACAAATCCGTCCAGATGAGTATGTACCATTGTCCCATTGTTGAACCCCAGTATATCACTGGCCGAGAGCTTGCACGGAACGACATGCCGCAGAAAGATCGAAGGGTAATCGCTGAAACTCCTTGTGTGATTCACCATCGATTCGTCCAACGGAGTGAAAACTGTCAACATCTGATTATCACCCTTCAGTTTCATCAATTGCAAACCAAGAAAAGAAGCCATCACAGAGTATCCTTTTGATCTCATCGCCCCACAAGCCTCACCAAACACATTCCCAACCGAAAGATCCTCCAAACTGCCATATCTCGGTGCTACACATTCAAGGCCAGGGCTTGGACTCTGAACCGGAGCCGAAGTTTGGAACTCTGGATCGAAGAACATCTCAATCCCAAAGACCACCAAGTTCCCATCGTTGAACACCGGCGAGCCGACAATCTTGACGCCGTTTATCTCAACCTGATAATCAGACGGCGAGGTGGTGACCATCAGAGAATGATTGGCGTTCATGGTGGAGATCTTGGCTCCACGAGGAAGCAACCTCAAGGTATCGAGAGAGAGCGCATGGGGTGAGAAGTGGAGTCGGAGGAGAGACAGTGGCGGCTGGCCGAACCTTGCGAAGGAGTCATCCGAGGGAGAGAAGATGGTGAGGGACGGGATTTGAGGGGAAATCAGGGTTTTGGAGATGAGATTGAGAGTTAAGGACATGGACACGAAGCCCGAGTTGGAGAGAGCATGGGTGGCTTCTCTGAGGGACTCGAGAGGGAGCGGAGAGCACAGAGGGAGGAGAGAGAGGAGCACGAGGGCGACGGCAGAGGCCGGAGTCGCCATTGTCGAAGCTCTGAAAATGGAGTTTTTCTCTTTCGAAAAGGCTCTTGCTTGAAGTCGTTGCAGAGAGAGAGGGAAAGAAGTTTCTTTTCTTCTGTTTGTGTTTCGCTGAGGAGGTCGTTAACCGTTATCTAGGCTGGGGAAAGTTTTGGCGGGAAGTGGGAATGTCCGGCGTAGAACAAAATGACACAAAAGCCCTTCTAGGATTTTATTTTCTTATTAATCAGAACAGAAGCAGATTCTGTGCATCTTTTTGTTTATTAATTAGTGATTAAGTAATAATTTGCATGTTCAACATTGGTGTATGCAACCTCATCCTCCAAAAGCTCCAATTAAAACTAAATCTCTCTCGTTTCTCTTCTGAGTTTCGGCCATAGAGATAAGTGTTGGCCAAGTACTGCCATATCGGGACTCTCTCGCGTGTGCTCGATAGATATCGAGCTCCACTGGGGGATGCCGTCGTCGACGATGTTATCCCAACTGTGGGGATCATTTTGATTAGCCCTTTATTTCTAGAGATTGAAGGTTGTCTCCACCGGCAACCATCCGAGGTGAATGCCCATCATCGTTGTTCTGACCAACAAACATCGAAGGCCAACTTCCGCCACTCACCGGAGATCTCTAAGGTATTTGTCACGATCCAAAGGTCTTCATGGCAGAATGGGCCAAGAGGGTAGCCAAGATGACTGAGCGAGTCTTCAAGCTTTAAAGGGCATAGGGTTTCTTGAGTACTCTCGAATATTTTTAGAGTTGATATGGAAAATATATACTTGTATTCTAGAGTATTCTTATAACAAATGCGGATAGTTGGTAGATTGAGAGATGAGATATCTACTGTGAGATCAAGGGGAGATCTACGGCTGTAATCTAGTGTCATCTCCTTGTATACAAGTTCAGAGCTTTACTAAAGTTTCCTAAGACACGCATGGCTAAGGGAGTACAAGAATAGCTTGACTGACATCAATGTCAATGACCTTGAATTTGATAATGGCATTCATCTTTTGAGAGCGGAACAACAAAACATGGAAAAAGCTGAAAAAAAAAAACAGAACAAGAACCTGGTACTCTTCTCAGCTCGTGGGTGGAATTCCAGATAGCTTATTGGGAGGAAGATGGTTGACCCGATCACCATTCAGATTTCTGCCCAAAAACCAATTTTCACAACTTGAGAGGTACAGGAAACAAAGAAGGGTCTGTTCGCTCGTTTTGCGACGAGGAATATCCTTCACCGAAACTGTGATTTTCGGTTTTTATTAAAGTAGGTTCTGTGGCTTGATTACTAGGAATATCGTGGCGAAAAAACAGAGTGTAGTGCTGGGTTATGTGGAAGCGGGTAGAAATTGAGTGGATTGAAAATGGATCTGGGATCAACAGAGTTCTAAGCTACGTTACAATACTCCTACGAAAGCGGTAAAGGGCTTGAAGGTTAACTAAAGCTACAGGAAGCTGTAAACGCAGGAAGTAAAAGTGCAAATGAAACTAAAGTGCATATAAACTTGAGTGTTTTTGCATTCTTGTGTGTGTTTTTTCTTCTTCTTTCCTCTGAGTACGTATATCTCATCCTACCCTGTAACTGCTTGTCGGTTACTTCTTTGTTTTCGAACTTTAAATTTTGGCGCTTTCAATAACTGTCTTATCTACCCACGTTTTTCAATTTCATTGTCCACCAAAACTTGATCTCAACTGCTGGGATAACTTCCAATTTGGATAAATGATCTCCCACGATCTGCTCGTGTTTACTATCTCCACTTCTTGCTCATAACTTCCTGTTGTCACGATTCACGTGGCTGGGTTGTGATCTTGCCGATTTTCGGTAGCTTCAACATTTCCCGAAATGTAAACTTTTCATGTTTCGGTAAAATTACCGATTCTCTCCACACGAGTTCGGGACATGGTGCCACTCACGCTTACTACATTCCCGAATTTTATCCAAACGTACTACGACTGAGCTCCATTGTCCATCGGATTTTGACATTAAACCGACGTGACATCCATGCCGATTTTGGTGTAAACAAATGCCCCCTTTTAAAAGAATTAAAAGAACTTTTAATTCTTTTAAATATCAAAGAAATAGTACCTATTCTTGACGTCGCTTCATCACCTTGCTTCGCGCCCCTACCTTTTCGTCTCCAAAACACTTTCTATAAAAATCGTTCCTTTTTCGTTCTTCTTCATCTTCACCTTTTTGAATCTCTGCAATCTTTTCCGACACTCTACTAAAATCCATGGCTTCCAAAGCTTCCAAGGACCAAACTTTCTCTTTTTCTGCATCAGATGCCCTCGACCGATATTATCTATTCCGGGATTCTGATAATTTCAAAGAAGGATCTCATCTCGTTTTCTCGTATGTAATGATTTTGAAGATTCTTATATCCTTGGCCCCGCCGCTCACAATCACTTTTTCGTTCCACAATGCCCCGTCAAACCGCTTCCCTCGTCATCGATTGAGGTACTTCCTATCCATGAGTCATCTATTTTGGCGTACCGTGGTATTCTCGTCTTTCTCGCCTTAGGGCTTTCTCTGATTTTGATTCTGAGTTCTATCAATGGTACCTTCGTCTTCTTCCTTCTAAGGGTTCTCTTTGGAATACCCTTTCCATCCACGATGCTTTGCGTCTTAGTTGTTTCGACTACCATGTGAATCGGGAACTGATTGGCGCGTTGTCCTGTTTTTGGTCATCTTCGACCAACCGTGCTTCTTTTCCCTTTTTCTCCTATGTCGGTAACTTTGCTTGATGTACACCGCCTTACCGGGCTCTCTCTTTTGGGTACGACCCATCTACCCCGCTCTAGACTCTCATTCGCCGCTCGGCAAATTATCTGATTCTGAAATGGCCTACGGGACATTCATGAAAAACTACTTTAAAAAGGAAAATGCAGTTACCGATGAGGAGCACACTGCTTTTCTTTTATACTGGCTCTGTAAATTCCTTTTCTGCCACCCTATAGTTAGGGTCTCGAATGATTTTGTTGCTGTTGCTTCTGCTTTAGCTTCAGGGACCCGGCTTTCTTTAGGCAAGACACTGTTGGCCTTACTCTATCGGGGTTTAGCCCATGCCTCTTCTTCCACTGCTTCAGATGAAGTTAGTGGCGTTTTTGGTGGTCCCCTTTGGCTTCTTCAAGCATGGGCAACCTTCTATTTCCCCACTTGGTTTTCCAAAGATCAAGTTATCCAGCCTCTCTCGGTTTCTATTCCTGACCAACTAATCTGCCAAACTTTGAGCAGGAAACTGGTCTCTGTTCCTAAAACACCATCCTCCCGTTTTCGGTACTTTATTTCTCAACTTTATTCCACCGAGGAGAATTCACATTCCTTCTCTCCTTTCTTTACCCCTCAATTCAAATCTTACCTTCCCGCTTCGGAAGAACAAAAGTGATTTTTGGCAATCTGTCTTGACTTCTGTTGATCTTCCTGTGAGATTTTCGACAAAAGGCAGGTTTGCTGCTGGCTTTGAAATCTATTCTCCCCAATACTGTGCCAGGCAACTTGGGTTAATTCAAGGAGTTCCCTGTTCCTGCTATTTACACTTTCTCTGTTGCTTCTTTTGATAAATTAACTTGCAAGCTGAAGGATGATCAACCTTTTAATGAGCCGACCACGTTGATACGGAGTATCTACCGATTGTCTCGTGTCATTGAATTCACTGGCTACTCCGATTATTCTTCACCGATTTTGACATTTGGTGGAAAGATTATCAAAAGATCGTGTTTTCGATCCTCTCGGATCTCGATTCTTTCAAAAATAAAAGATGTTGTTCCTCCTATAGCACCAAAAGCAATTGAGGCTGTGAATAAGTCTCCAACCAAGTCAATAGAACCTTCCAAAGGTAATTTCATTATCAATATATGTTTTGCTTGATTTCAGCCTCCTATTTAATATCATACTCTCGCAGTGAACAAGAAAAGAAAGGCTTCGGACTCTATTGCCCCAAAGAAAGCACCAGCAAAACGCGGCTTTAGAAAAGTAACTATTCGTTCCTCAGAATCTCCAGAAAATCCTCCAACATCTGATCAATCTTTAGAGCTCACACTTCGAGCTATGATGAAACCGCGCCCACCAAAAGGTACTTCTCTTGCTCTATTTATGGAGACTAGCAATGTGCATATTAGCACTAACCTGTATATCTTTTGATTAATCCAGATACCTCCAAGACTAATCCATCCAGTGTTGCTTCTCCTAGCAAGGCTCTTATCATATCAGCCCCAAATCCTTCACCAGTAATTCCTGCTTCTTTGATAGAAGTCACTGCTGAGTTGATTCAAGATCAAACTCCTGTTTCAAATCCCCAAGAAGGTATACCAACGCAGGATATTCCTACCAATGTCATAGAACCTGAAGAAAATCTTCCTCTAACTTTTACTGGTAAATGTTATTGCCCTGTATTTGACTCGAAATTTCTATTCGCTTATCTCGATATACATATGTTATCCGCAGCCTTCGACATACCCGTTTCGCACCTCAAGAAATTCCAACGCCCGAAGAAACGACGTCTCAGACCCTTTGAGTGTGCAAGTGCCACCAACTTCTCAGATCATCACTGGTTTACCTCCTTCAACATCCTCTGCTGTGCCCAACCCATCTGCTCAGATAGAAATTTTCTCTTTAGCAGAACGGGAGGAGTTGGAAAGAATATTGGCAGGTACCCATCCCAGTTCTTCAATGACTGATGATTCCTCAGGGCCTTCAACTTTGTCAATGCTTGTCGAAGTTCCTAGAGAAGTGGCTAGAGCTAAATGGGAACAGCTCTTAAACCTATTAGAGCCTGGTTATGGAAAGTTGATCATTGACTCTAACAAAGAACGCCAAGCGAGGAATCTTTTCCAGGAAATATGCTCTGGCCATCCATCCTTTATCTTGTCGGATTCTTTCCAAGACAAAATTGATCTCTTCGCTGTTGACTTTGTAGACGCTGTGACTAAAATCAGAGTCAATCTTGATCATCTTCCCCATCTTCTCTTTGGAGAAAGCCGAGGACTGGCAATCCAGGATGAATTAGCCAACAAGCGTGAAGATGCTCGTCTCTTCTATAATCATTTTAAAGTTGAAGCAAGCAAACTTCAAAGCTTGGAGGCCAGAAAAGCAGAACTTGAAGCAGAGCTGAGGATGGTGGATGCTCAAATTATAGACCAGAAATTCACAGTCTCAAACTTTTCTCCCACACTTAGACGCAAGATGCAGAAATGTAGGGAATTGGAGAAAGAGTTTGA